CCTCTTGTTCGGGAACGGCAACTTCAAAGTGGAGATATAAATTGCTGATTTGTTCCGGAGGTGTTGGGCACTCACTGAACACCAGCGTACGCATCGATTCATACAACGACGGATCGTAGAAGGCCAAATCGAACCAGTTCAGTGGGCGTCCAAGAATGAATTTGAGAACATGACGGCAGAGGTGCAGCGGAAAAATTTCCATTTGAAGAAGACAAATTCCTATCATTCTGAAAGAGCGGAATTAAACTCAAACTAAAAAAAATCAAACAAAAAAACTGAAATCACCAAAGTAATACCGAAAAATATTCAACGATTCAAAAGATTCAAAAAACTCGAAAAAAAAATTCGAAAATAAAAAAAAATATTTTCCGTCCAACAGTGAAAGTTCAACAGTTCATAACTATTCTGGCCTCTTTTTTTGTCTTTATGTAAAATTATTTTCAAATCCGGACAGGCGAATCTCCACTCTTTTGAGACGGGGTGTTAAGAATTTTTCACAAGGCCCAGATCCAAGCAGTACACACCGGGTTGGCATTGGCACATCCAGCAACCAAATTTTGGGACCTCAATTCTTATGGTATTTTTTCTTTTTTGGGGGGAAAGGGGCTGGAGGGGAGGGGAGGAGGGCCTTATGGCATCGTGTGCTGACCTGTAACCTCAATTTTTAGTACAAAACAAGTCATGAATTCAAGTTCCGGTAAAAGCTTCACTAAGAGAGATAAAACGCTTTGCCTTACCTTCCAACATTTCGAAATGCGTTCAAGCGATGAGCGGTGTTTTTACCCGCAATTGGAGTATAATAGCCAGTTTTGCTTGGGCGATAAAACAACGGCGCCGTGTCATCCTCTTCCACTGTGCATCCCGATTCGTCGGCAGCTAAAAAATTACATTTCACTTACAAAAAAAAAATGAATACTCAAATTGAAAAATATAAAAGGTGTGGCGAAAGCGAGAGCACTTCAACAAAATGCCCCTCCCCCTTCTATTTTTCGCGCCCCATAACATTTTGGACACAATATACTCTAACAAATGGAATTTTGTATAACAATTTAATGAATTAACTTTTTGAACTGGAATGAATTGAGATAATTGATATAATTGAAATAATTATATTTTTGAAGTTAAGAAAAATAACTGAAATAATTATATTGAACTGAAATAAATAAATGAAAATGATATAACTGAAATAATCGAAAGAAATGAAAAATTATAATTGAAATAAAAAAGCTTGGTGGGCAAAAAAACTCAGTGAGTCCGAACTTGAAATATTCAAATTGGAAGGCTTTTCAAATACTTTTCGGGCTTTCAGGTTTCCAGGAAGGCTTTCAAATCCAGAAAACACTTTTCAAAAAAAATTTTTCAATTTTTTTCAATTTTCAAAATTTTCGAAAAATTTCAAAAGACTCGAAAAATTTCAGAAATTTTCAAAAGATTTCAAAAATCAAAAATCTGAAACATACTTGGAAGATTTGGCGAACTGGCAGCACGTATCATTGGTATAGAGCGGACTTGCATTGATGGTGCACGACTTGATGATGGTGCCGGTTCAGCAGCAGCAGCTCCAGCTCCAACCCCAGCTCCGGTTCCAGCTCCAGCTCCGGTGGCAGCTCCAGCAGCAGCAGCAGCAGCAGCGGCATCAGTAGAGCTACCCTGTTGTTCATTATTAGCCTGACCGGAAGCCTGAATAAGCTCGACAGCATCATCAACATGAGCTTGCAGCATATCCTCGTTAGAGAGGAGTGTTAGCAGCTGCTGTGGGTGTAGCTCCAACAGCATACCAGTGATTTTGTTGCACAGTGTCTGAAAATCGGTTTGGACACCGCAATTTCTTTTGCAGTGAATACGATGATGACGATGAATTTGCATAAGAAAATGAGAAAGGCAAATTGCGGTAAAATTCTGCTTTACAAGAAATGTTTGCGAGTAGTCTTCTTTTTACATACTCCTCTGTACATGAACCTTCTACATGACAAACGGTTTACCCATATAGGCTACTCCACAATCTTCTCTATCTTATTTTAATTTAATCTGAAGCAAATAGAGAATCGAAGTAAACTTTACCGATCTTAAAGTGCGAATACGTGCCAGAAGCCTTTCGCCCAGCGTTTCTCGATCAGGTTCCCATGATGGTGGCAAATCTGCTAGTGCCAAATCGCTGGCACTTTGCGCCGGAGCTGATTCCTCACCAACAACAGCTGGATCGTTCAGCTGTGGATGTCGTCGTGAATAAAATGGTGCTGCTGAGGCTGACAGAGCATATCGGCTGAAAAAAAAAAGCAACATATCGACAAAAGGACACTTTTTTGCAAAAAAAGCAATTCCCAAATTTTGCAAAAAAATTCTCAAAGTCGTACTTTTAATATTTTGTAAAAAAACAGTAATTCCCAAAAACACACCTTCGTAGACCCCTTCGTCGTCCACTACCCGACATACTGTTCGAAAGAATGGCCTGTCTTTCTCGAACATTTGAACGCATTGATGACTGGCGATTGCCTATAATTTTGACCGGTAAAGCACCTGCACAACCAAACAAAGAGGCGGTTTTTATCGTGCTTACTACCACTAAGGAGGTGCCCGAGGCAGAAAAAAACGTTACGCTTTTTTTGCAAGAAAATCTTTGCTTTTTGCAAAAATTTTACAAAAACAAGACTGAAATTTGCAAGATTTAATCAATGGGATCTTTAAACCAATGTAATGAATACGCTTAAGCCCCAAGTTCAATGCGAGGACTCCAATTTTAATAAAAACTGATAGCAAGGAATTCTTTCAAACCTGCGCAAAAGCCATTAAACTAAACAACGAAAAGGCTAATAATTCCGTTTTTTTTTTAAATTTTAGATATTATATTAAATCAAACATTGTATTAAATAAAACATTAAATATTAAACTAAATGAAATAAATTTAAGTGTTGTATTAAATTTTAATAAAAACCTTAAACTCAAATTTAAATTAAATTTCAAGTTCTCAGTAGTTTCAATAATTTCAGTTTCAATTTCAAAAATAATACAGCGATTCAGTAGAAATGAGCGAAAAAATCCGAAAACAGCAAAAAAAATGTAATTTTCAAAAAAATTCAAAACAGCACAATAAATTTTTATGCGCATCTTTTTTTGTTCGAAACGTACCTGCTTGTTGTGGCTGTGGCAATTCGGTGGGTACACTGCCAAATGCTGCTAAAATTTGGGCTTCGGTTGGTAGACGTTTCATTGTAAGAAATGCATCAGCAACAGCTGCATAGAAACTTCTCGCAACGCCACTTCCTTCACCAGGCTCATTTTTGAATGTCACTTTCACCTACAAAACACACACAGTTAACATTGTTAAAAAAAATATAGCAACATAAGAAGTAGTAAAAAACCAAATTCCTTCCATATTCACCCCCCAAACTCCTTTCAAAACTTTCTGAAAATTTTTTTTTTTGGAATTTTTTTTGAACTTCTTTGAATTTTCGCTTTTTTTTCCTAAAATTTTTTCTTGAAGTTTTGAAGTTTTTTGAAAAATTTCGGAATTTTTGAAAAATTTCTTTTTTTTTGAAGTTTAGAAATTTGGAATTTAGAAACAGTATTTAGAAATTTTAGAGGACAAAAAGCAAACCTTATGACAGGCCAGGGGTGGTGTATCGTCGTCCTTATTGCCGGCGCTAACCATCGAGACATTCATCAGTCTTACTGCTCTTGCAGCACCCGTTTCTCGACTTACATTTGCACTTGTATTTGGTGAACTCGTTGTTGATGATGAAGTGTTAACACGACGTGCGTAATGCATGTTGAGTTGACGAATTGTTTGCGCAATCATTTCATGCTTATCACGCTCTATCTGTAAAACACACCCCGAGTACGTTCGATCTGCCCAGAAATAAATATAAAAGAATTACAGAAGATAAATGTAAAAGAATCAAATACAATTGCCAGAAATTGCCAGAAATATAATTGCCAGAAATATAATCACCAGAGGAATATAATTACCAGGAAAAAAAACTAGATCACCAGAAATAAATAAATATAATTACAGAAATATAATTACCAGAAACAAATATGAAAGAATTACTCTAGATTATAGAAATTTATAATTATAAGCATTACGCTTAAAAAATTATAGATATCTGAAAAATACTTAACACTTAAATACTCAAAAACATTTAAAAAATAATAATTAAAATACTTGAATAAAAATGATTAAGAATACAGTATTTAAATAAAAACAAAGAACTAAAACTTAAATAAATTAAAATCTAAATCGAAAATTAAAAATAAATTAAAATTAAACAATTAAAATTACAAAAATTCAAGAAATTAGAAATCTTAAACTTAAATAAAAATACTTTAGACTATAGAAAAATGGTGAATGTAATTAAAGGAAAATAATTATGGAAATTTTTATACCTAGATTATAGATTATTATAGAAAAAAATTATAGATTAGTGGAAAATTAGTAAGACGATTATAGAAATGTGATTACAGAAGGTAAGCCGATTACAGAAAAATGATAAATGTGAACCTCAAAAGTGAGATCTTTGGTTTGTGCTGCTTTGAATTTATCCATTTTCTTGCGAAACTGACTTTCGCGAACCGAAAAACCTGCCATTTCACTCAAAAGCATTGATCCAGTAACTTCTCCGCCGCAGGCAACCAACAGTTGCTCGTGGAAAGTCTAAATATGCATGAATTACCCAAGCATAAAATTGAAAAAAAAAAGTCGCAGGATGCGAAATTTCATTATTTCCACCCAAATTTCTTCTTCCGGGGCTAGAATCAAAAAACTTTTATCACGAAGCGATAATGCTGTGGCTGCAGCAACCACATAATTTCCGCTACCTGAAAAGCTGCGCAAATGTGGAAAGATAACAGACTGAAGTGTCAAAGTAAGCTTTTTTTAGGCTTTTTCAAGTTCAAATTTTTTACAAATTTAAGCTTTTTTCAAGACTTTTCCAAATTAATCCAGTCATGGAGATTTTCTCGATGGACACTCAGTTGCCTTGGATAAGTAATTTTTTAGCTCCCTTACCCC